GATTTCTCAAGCTTTCATTGAGTGTCACCAGCACTAAATATAGAAAGAGTATGTAAATAGTAATACTTGGCCTATTTTTGCCATCTCTTTACTAGCAAGGAAATGAAAATATAATATGAAACTACTTGTGGAAACTCCCCAAATCTGGAAGATTCAACTTCTTTGTTGAAATGGGCTTTTGTTAAAATTTAAATAGATTATGCAAATAGATAGTGAAAATGCTGCAGTTTTGATACATCCTTTTACTGGCAATATTTAGAAAAAATCCTTGATGTTGTATATGTGATACATCTGAAATTTTCAAAACTACATTAATTCACATTCTGATATCAAACAGAAATTTTATTTTAAAATCATTCATTGATTTTTTTACTAGAAGGTTTGTAAAAACTGGATTTAAGTTAAATGATAAGTTAGTTACTTTTTTATACTGGATTCAGGATTTTACATATTCTCCATTTGGGGGGGAATAATTATTTAATATTTTAGGGGTTTTGTTTGTTTGTTTTTTGTTTGTTTTTTAAGGTAGAAGGCTGATTCTGCACTGCTTAAACTAAAAGGAACAAAATAGTTGGGAAAGCACTTTATTATTTTATTTAAAAAATTTTAAAGTGTTTTATTCTTCAGTAAATACTTTATAAAATTCAGTAAATCCAGTAAATTCTTCAGTTTCAATTGCTTTCCACATATGTGAAAAGTATTGAACAAGTGGATTTAGTGCCTCATTTCATCACTCGGAAGTCATTCAAAATCCCATCTTAATTTAATTTTCTCTGTGTAGCCTGGTTTACATTTTTTGAGGAAGCCTTCTGAAAGTAGGAAACGGAAGATCTCTTTCTTTATGCCTAGCTTGGGAATGAACCACAGATGATGGGGATGAAAGGACATCACCTCAGATAATTCAAGGATCTGAAGGAGGCAGCGAGGTGGCAGCAGGAATATTTCCTCCCAAACAAAGGGTCTGGAGCTTTTAGAAACTTGTCTATGACTAGAGGAGCCAACAGAGCCAACATAAGCATTTACAATGCCACCAGAGAATTTCTGCTTCTGAAAAAGAGCTAATTGATGAGATAATTATTCTAATTAGCACAAAACTAAAGCCCCCCTGAAGTCTCCAAAAGCTCATTCCCATAAATGGATCCCAGCTAATCTACTTGTGCCATTGCAATTGCAGGCAGATTTTCCATGAGGTTCAAGGAAGACAAGCACAAAAAAAAGCTGATTTCATATAGAAAAGTTTTTCTTTTTCTTAAATTAATCTTGAAGTCCACAAGACTCTCATCAAGAAATGGAAAAAAAGGAGGAAGATTATTTTTATGAATACTAATATCTTTGGGGGAGACAGAAGGTCTTCCTTGAGAGAAAATTTGTATTCTTCTAACACAATTAATATTTTAAGGAGCAAAACCATATCTATTGAGGAAGCCCCTAAGTGCCTCCTTGTGTGCTTCCTCTGTGCTTCTTTTCTATTATTAAATAGCTCTATTTCAATCACTTAAAAGACATTATATTTAGCTGGAAATACGAGCCATGAATACTCAGGACTTCCAACCACTGCTTTTGTGCCTTTGGGGAATTGAATAAGAGAATGTATAAATCCCATAAGACAGGAATATGTACTGAAAGATGAGCAGGTGGTTGAGTGCTTTGGGGAACAATGAATGATTTGAACTGTAAAAGATAATTTCAAAATGAATAATGAAATAGTAAGAATAAATTAATTGAATTCTAGTAAATGCAAGACAAAAACCATTTATTGATTCCCCTGGCAAGTGAGATCATAACTATTTAAGCTGTTTAAATCCATAACATTTTTTTCCCAAAAAATCATCAGTGTAACGTTTTTGAATGGAAACTCCAAGTTATATAATACTATCACACTTCTCATAAAATCAGCTTTTTCATAAAATCACCAGAGCTTTATAAATTCTGACTCTTTCAAACTTCCATAGTCTCTGCAAAACAATTTTCCAGTGAAATTACAGCCACCTTCACTATTCAGGTGATTTCTCCACACTGATAAAACAGTTTCTGAGGCAAAGGTTGATTTTTCTGTCCCATCATTCAGTGAAGTCTGTATAAAATCTGCTCTACTACCTTTGGTTTTCTCTGTACCTTGCTGTTTCTAGACTGCCAGAAAAGACCTTTAGCCTTTCCCACTTCCCAGGCCCTTTCTTCCAGGCATGGCTGGACCCACGTTCCTCCAGGCCAAATTGAAGCTTAGTGCTTTCCCTGTTAGTCACTCCTGGCTCCTGGGTGTCCTACACAATCTGTGTGTTGTAGGGAATGTTTTTTATGGCCATGGATGCAGAGGTGGGGAATTTTTCAGGCAGGGCTATTGTAGCAGTCAAAATAATAGAAAAGAGAAGAAAACTCAGCTGAAACCCCATTTGGGAACACAGGTCTGTGTTCAATGTGCTCTAAGCTGCCTGATGTTCTGGTATTGCACAGATGTTCCAGTCATGGGATGTTTGCATTAACATTTTCATGCATCCCTATAGAGAAATCAGAAATTGCAGAGTCATAAGGACTCCCTTTATAGCCCAGCTGCATTAAACAATTTTACCTATTGGACAGGAAGGTTGTTTGCTTTATGTGATGAAAGTGGTTGTAAAAACAGAAGTTAGTCATGCCTCACGAAAGGAGTCTATCAGAAAGCTGGGATGACTTCTTAAATTGAAGTAAAAATATCTGAAAGACAGGAATGCTGTTGTCAAGATGATTACACATATATTTTAGTAATATAAATTATTAGGTATACTATCAATATATGATATTTGTTTTTTACTGGGCTTAAAATTTTGCTTTTCAACTTAGATGCTTTATTTGAGGGTTTAAGTCTGTGTTTTACAATCAAAAAGCACAGTAGTTTATTGTTTATAAATAGTTTGGATAAATACTGTGGACAATCAAGAAATTTCTGGAGGGGAATTTGATGAAGTTCTTTGTGGCATATGTCAAAATACACCAAACTACAAAGATCTCTTAGTTGATCTACATAAATTTTATCTCCATCTTTCCAGAAGTAGCTGAGGTGGCTTCCATCAAACACTAGCATTTGTAGAGAGCTGTTGACTATAATCATCTCTGTAAGTGTAAAATACTCACAGCTGAGGCTGACAGGAACCACTGAGGTCATGTAGTAAATCCCCTTTGTTCAAAAAAGTATCAGCTTAGGCAGGTTGCTCAGGATTGTGTCCAGTTAGGTTTTGAGTATCTCCAAGGATGCAGACACTGCAATCTCTCTGGGTAAACCATTTCACCCTTGGATTTTTCTTTTGGAGACAAGGATTGCAGCCCTGCTTTTTGCAGGATACTCCACTCAGGATCCTGATCTTCACCATCTCATGGTCATGGCAACCCAGGCTGCCTCTGACCTTCACATCCTTGACCAGTTTGTTTCACTTTTTTGTAAGTGCAGGCACATTACTGTATAGCACTTCAGAGACACATCCACTCTTGATTTCCAAGAAGAGTGTGAAAGCTTCCACTATCATTTTGTCCTTTTGGCACCTCCTTATTAATTTGCATACAGCTGAGATAGACCTTCCTGAATCTTAAATCCTGTTTTGTTTTTTTCAAGGTCTTCAATAAAGAAAGACATAGAAAACTTAGCTTATGTGTCCCTGCCACAATAAAGTCCTGCTTCTTTTCAGTAAGGTCCAATGCCCCTAAGTGGGTGATTCATGAAAAGCATAATGAAACTAAATCCACTCTATGTAGAAATAGCTCAGATTAGGTTGGAAGATAAAACTGATACCATTCAGAGCCTGGTTAATGCTATTAAAAGATAAATTGAAACACAATATCCTCTAAACACCTTCAAATCTCTGTTTGTCAGTTAAAAAAAAAAAAAGCACTGTTTGAACTTTAAAGGGTTTATCAAAGATATTGCAGTGAATTTTTAGAAAATATATATCATTGCTGAACTTTTCTTCTGGCAAGGACATATTATTTACTGCAGGCCTGTATCAGGTTTTGAGTGATCCCCTGCTAGTAGAACTGTTGTCACTATCCTGTAATAAAGGTGATATTCTGCTGCCAGAAAAAGAAATTTTGCTTAACTTATTGAAAGACTGAGATTAACTTGTGTGATAAATAAGACTCCAAAATTGCAGTTAGGAAGATTTTTCAGATTTCTGAAAGGCTTAAGATGTTCATCAAAAAGTCCTTGAACATCAAACCTCCTCACTACAGTTACTGGAGGGAAGCAGGTTGCAGGAGGAGTTTTACGTGCTTGTGCTCCTGAGTGTACATTTTTCTTCTGTGATTAAAAGATGAGTCAAGAAGCTATAAATAACATGGAATAAAAGCTCACCCCATAATCTTTTGTTGAGTAGCTGAATTCAAGTTTTAGACATAAATCCAGCTGGTAGGTTTGGTTGGAGTGAGGTTTCCATATTGGTTGTGTCCTGGGTATCAGCAAAAAAAGGGCAGGGTTTGGACAGCAGCACCCTCACCCCCACCTCCACAATAGACCCTGCACTGCCCAGGGGATGGCTGGTCCTGTGGTTGTAAGGTGTGGAAGGACTAATGATCCATGAGGAAGGAGTTGGGATTTTAGAGGATTTTGTATGTTTTGGGGGACATTGAGGTTTTTGGTTCCTTTTGTTCAGGGATTACTGTAAAGCTAATTCTCCTTCAAATGCTTCTGCCACTGTGAAAGTGCTGAAAGAAAAGTTGCTGATGGAAAATGTGCAATTATTTCTCAAATACAGAGTAGTTGAAGGAAATGGAAACCCAGCTGGCACTTTACAAAATTGGTTTTCATCAGCTAGCAATTCCCTAGGATTTGTAAATCTAGCAAAAGATTCATCTTCAGTTTTCACCATTTTCTTGCATAAATCATAGACATTTCAGTTGCCTTTGGTTAGTGGTTCCTGTGTAGATTCATTTTCATCAGCTTGTTCAGGTCCTGAAAAGAATCTTTTGAGAGTTTTTTTTCTTGCAGCTGTCTGAGAGCTTTAGTTCAATTACATCTCTTTGTATTTTCCTTTCAGGTGATGTATACTACAGCCAAGAATGACAGAGGAATTTCCCATTGCAATGGTAAGTGGCAGCATTTGGATACTTGGATTGACACAGAATTTTTGAAATATCAAAGGACAATTAATAACAGACTTGTGACTGAGGCATTCAGATTTCCTTCTTAAAAAAAGTGACTTTTCTTTTTATGTTAAAAGGTACTTAGAACTAGCTTAAAAATTCATAACATAAATACACACATTCGTGGACTGTTTTTTTCCTATGACATTAATATACCTTGGTTTTGCTATTAAAAAAGAAAAACATCTTAAAAGAGAGGCTAGCAATTGAATTTGAATTCATGGAGGGACTATGCACAGCAAGGACTGTGAAGTTCATCTGGATATTCATTGCTTTTGTAGAAAATTAGATGCCTCTCTAAATAAATACCAACAGCACAGACAAGAGAGACAACAGAAAATGGGTGTACTGTTTGTGATAGATGAAAATGCTAGAAATCTCTCTGAAAGGCTGATCAGATTTTGTTTAGTATATTTGCATATGGGATTGACTCCAAAGACTGGGGGAGACAGGAAGAAGACTCACACTGAATGTGGGAGATCAAGCATGTAGCACCACCACTCAGGCATCTTTATTTCTTCTGTCAGCTTTGTTCCTTTCTTTTTTTTTTGGAAGGAAGGTTAAGTCTCATAGAAAGAAAGATGTACCATTCTCAAAGCTACAATAATATTTTGAAGCACAATGATATTTATAAGGAAAAATTATAAGGAAAGACAAAACAAAAAATTAAGGATATTATTTTGTAAAATAATATAAGCGTATGATTAGAAAGAACCTATTATAACGTTGTAGACAATATTCAGCTAGGTAAACATACAAAGAAGATGAGAAAAAGGGAAGAATGTAGAGGAAAGAGGTGAAAGGACTATAATCAAAAGGCAGATATTAAAATGCTGATTAAGTGCTAATATGATAGCAGATTAACTGGTCTGACCACAGAAAACATTGTTCTCTACAACTAAAATGCAATTAACTTGGGTTATTTGAATACCAAGCACAACCAGACATATAAATATATTTATTAAAATATTAATATATTAATGTATTCATGATGTATATTTATATGTTAACATTATAATAGTCTAGAAAAAAGCTGAAAAATAACCATAAAACAGGGTTGCTGGCAGCCCTCAGTATTTCATTAGAATGCATTAGTAGTCCAAACAAATATATTTTTGAGAAGTATTGGAAAGTTCTTATTTTTCATCACTACAGGATTACCTGGAGATTTCATAAGGAAATCAAAACTTGTATAATCTAAAAAGCAAACATTTTTTCTAGAAGAATAATGATTTTACAGTCAGGACTTGTGAGACTGATTCCAATGACACAGACACAAAGCTATCTTGAATAGAGTAATTTGTGTTAAAGAAGAGCAAACTCAGCCTCTGATTTCACAAATTCTTGGCAGCATTTTTGTGTTTTAAAAAATGAAAATACTCATTCTCTTTATTTCTCTGACATAAAAAATTATCTGTGTACAGTAATGGCAAAACTAAAAGCTGTCATCTACTGATAAACTGACACAGAGGGACCATTGTGTAAACAGAAGTGATCTGTGTTTTTCTAGCATCTTCTCTGGACTAACTAGAAGTCACAATGACTTTAATAGAGTAATTTCTGTATTTATCTGGTGTAGGAATATAGTTCTAATGACAAAAGGTGACCAAGAGGGACACAGCCACACAATGAGTTGTTATGCCAGGATAGATCACAAAGCTGGTGAGCTATTCAGGAGGAATAGTACAAAGGAAAGGAAATTATCAGAGCATGATGACCACACAGCTCCATGCTTTCTGCCTAGTGCTTAAACATTTGTGTACATATATATGGCATAATAAACTCCAGTCCCAAGCTTTTATCACATATGGGAACCATTATGTCTATTGATCTCATAGGTCTTAAAAATAGAGTTCACAATGGACATGTCTAGAAACTTCACTGATTAAAGTATTATTCTCCAGGGCAATGCTGACAATAAGATAATAAGATGAGCATGACTCTAAAATGCCCATAATAAATATTATAAGAAAAAGTATACATACATTTTATTTATGTACAATTCCTGTAGCTTTGTTAATAATTATATAATTATATATTATATAATAACAGCAGTGGCTGTGTAATTTATTCCCTCTGACTTCAGAGAGGCTTGCCAACTCCTTTTCTTTTTCTTCCCCTGGACAAGCCATTTAGGGAAATAAAGTGCTCAGATCCTTAGATGTCTGAAACTTGTTCCAGTGTCAATTCCAGTGGCATTTGGGATATTATATGGCTTATCATTATGTTAGATGTTGTGAAGTTACTTTCATAGCACTCACTCTGAGAATGGCTGTATCATTAATGAGTCCATCAGCAAGGATGCATCTCACTCTGATGTTTGTAAATGCCTTAGAAAAGAGGCAGCTCACAGCTGTCTGAGCCTTCAGATGCTTAAATAACTCACATCTAAAAACTGTGTGAAGCACACTGGAACCACCCTGACAGCAGGGTTTTCTGCTATGCATATTCGTTTTCTTCCCTCTCTGATAATGAGGGCAATAATTTGTTCCTCTGTGAGGCAAGCTGCACTCAGATTTCAGCATGAATTTGAATAAAACCTCTGTGTGTCTCTTTCACTCTGCTAGACACAACAGTTAACTTAAGGACAAATCCACAAGTCATAGGATTTGCAACACGTTCTGAGAAGAGAGACCAAGAACTAAATATGAAAAAAAAAAAATCACTCTGAAGTGATTAACTTCAATTCAGTAACCATAACCCAATCCTCTAATCAGAAAAGAAGTAAAAGAAAATTTTAATTGTTTTTTTGCCACACAAACACACCAACATCTGCTCAATTGGTGGCTAGATGCATAAATGGCAGGAGGTGGACAGGATGGCAGCATGCCTGTCTCACAAGACACATCTCCTACTGCTTGGCAATAGGATACCTTCTCTCAGTGTGCTGAGTTAAACTCCACCTTAAGTTGCTTTTCTCTGTCCTATGCCCAGTAAGAGAAACCTGGATGAAGACTGTGAATTATCTCTCATAGGCTGATACTTATGTAAATGTATAAATTTACAAAACAAGGCTGTAGCCTTAGAGATCATTGTATTTTGGAGCTTAAATGCCCAGGTACCTTGGAAGATTCCCTTCAGGTGGGCTGGAAGTAATTAACTATTTTTGTCCCTGGGTATCAGTAAGCCAGCATCTATGATAGTTTCACTTAGGGAAGAGAGACAGACAAAAACTGATCTGGCTGAGTACCAAAGCCTGGAGGGAGAGAAAATCTGGGGAAATGGTCCCAATAATTGCTTGCAGCCACTGTGAGAAAGCCATAATCACCTGAAATGTTCAATAGCAATATCTCACTTGGTTGAATATTAACTGGGCACTGTTCTGGGAGATCCCAACAGATCTCCTCTTGGCAAGATGAGACTCCCTGTGTCTTTCATCTTGTTATCTCAAAGCACTTTACAGATGCAAAATGATTTGCAAAGCAATTCTCATTATCTACATTGCACAAATGATTAAGGCAAAGGGCAGAGAGACCTCACAAGTACTCCTGGGTCACTTAGAATGAGCCAAAAAACTGTCCTACACATAAGCAGTAAACACTCTTAAAAGCAGACATTTCTTTGAAGTTTAAGGGTATGCCTTTCTTTGCATATCTTGTAAGCAGCATCTGTCTGTGCTGTCACAAACATGTAGGTAGGCATTGCTTTTCTTTTGCCTGGACATGCTGTACCCAGCTGCACCTGGGCCCCAGGACCTTCCCTCTGGGTACAGCAGGTCCCACTTCTTCCCCTTCCATCCTGGCCAGATTGCAGATGGGTGAAGCTTGGTGCCTTCTGGTCAGTCAGTGCTGCCTCTTGGTGTCCTACACAAATCTGTGTCATCAGCAGAATTCTCTGTGGCCATGGACACACAGCCAGGCCCTTTGCTGGGTAGGAGCAGTAGGTATAGAGGGCATCCCAGAAAATAGTTTCTGATCTCTGTCAAAAAGGCAAAAGCACTATCAGGAAAATTAACCATGTTATTAATACCCCACAAAAGGTACAGCAATTTATTGTATCTTATGCTCCCTCTGATGCTGGGAACCCACAGAGATACAATGTAAGATAGGCCTCTGGCCATGCCATGGCACACTGCTCACACTTCCTACCTGTGGTGAGGTCCAACAGCAGTCACCTTCAGAATTATTTTAGGATCTTCATAGAAGCAAAGCAACTCTGTCATATTCACTGTGAAAAAAAAAAAAAAAGAATATTTGTAGGAAAACACGCTGCTTCACTTCAAGATAAAGTCAAGAACATTCTTTTGACAAACAGGTTCTGCCTATGGGCTCTTTGGTTTGACAAGTTGGTTGCATTTATTGTATGGTAAGGCATGAGGCTCAGTCCCCAAAGCCAAGTCATGTGTAGAACAGCAGGGCTCAGCAGAGGCTTGCACTGCTCCAGCCAGCTGTGCATGGATCCTTATCTCCTCCAAGTGCAATAGCCTGCTGTGTAGGACCCCCAGGCTGTTGTTCAGGTGGTTGTTGTTGCCTGTGGTATAAAGGGGGTAGCAGGCTGTGTACATCTGATGAAGTCACCATTTTGTCCATTTGCCTTTTCACTACATGTTTTTTCAAGCCCTGCAGGTTGACTGGCTCTCTTAGCATGCTGAAACTCAGCTTGAGGTACAAAGGACTTCCTATTTCAACAGCACATCCTGCATCAGTCTCTGAAATCCTGTCAAGCCTTACCAGTGAAGTAAGCTAAGACTCTCCAGAAGCATCAGCAGCCACAATAAAGCCAAAATTCTGCTCATTCAGCTTCACAAGGGTAAGTGCACTGAAGGGTGTTAAAGCAAATGCTTTCACTTTGTTGGTGCTCACACCTAGCACAGTAAGTATGCTCCAGTGGGGATTGTTACCTGTTTAATGTGAATTATACCAAGAATTGTTAGGTTGTGGATATTCTTTAAAAATGTGTGTCTTTCCCATATCTATCTGTTGACCCATAAAACTTTTAAGCAGTTTCCTTAGAACACTGATACCTCAGGAGGATTACTGATTAGATGGTTGTCTCTACATGTAGAAAATGCATTCCAACACAAGCTAAAAACCTTCAGGGAAGGAAGATTTTCAGTAAATTACAGCTGAGATGTGAGTCCTACCTATTGGGGCTCAATCAAGTAGTTCTAGATTTTTAATTTTTTGTACTCCAAAACTAAAGGTAAAACCCAATATACTGTTTGATAGACAGATTTAAATATTTGAAATCACCCAGATTGAACTTGTTGCCATTCACAGCCTGACTGTGTTGTAATTCATAGAGAAATTTAATCAGGTATTTTCCCCAAAGCTTATTAATTGATCTGAGTTAATGAATGTGAGGTTTTTGAAGCCCAGATCCAGTGTTTTTCTACGTCAGGGCCTGAGAGCAGTTAAAACAAATAGTCCATGCTTTTGTCCTAGCAAGTACCTGAAAGTGTCAAATAGTCATGTTTTCACCAAGTCAGTCTAACAGACCAGTGTCCTCAAGGTGACACCTTGCAAATTAATTTCTGTGAGATTATTAGCATGTTGAAAAATAATGAAGTTAAGGTTATTTTATAAATTTATGCCAGGAATAAAAAGGCTGGCTATTTTAGGGAATCAGTTTTTGAGAGATGTTCAGATAGGTCCTCAAACATACCATGGAAGATTTAGTCATTTTGAAATACTAGAGAAGAAAAAGACTCTGTGAGGTTTAGATACCATCAGCCTAATGATTTTTCTCAAAATTTAAAGATAGCTTTGTCCAGAAAGGTCAAGCTCTGCAATAATTTTTCAAAAGCCATTTCTTTCCTGAAATAATTAAATATAAGTTGAACAACAGTTCACTGGGGCAAACTATGAATCCAGATGGCAGAAACAACAGCTGGGGAAAGGCTGGTAACAATTCAAGTGTTTAATTTATTAAAGGTTTTGCAAAGGTTTTGCAAATCCAGCAAGTGTTTGGATGAAGGTGTTGCCCATACAGGGCTCACATAAAAAATGAGCATTATACCACTTCAGATAATGTCTTCTTGAATGAAGAGATTCCATATTAAAAAGTATATTTAAATCCCATCTGTGACTGGTCTTCACACAGTTAAGCAAAGGTAACATTCAGTTCCTGAGGAGAGCAGATGGAGAGATGCTCTGGTAAAGCTGCTGAAGAAGAAAGAGTGGTTCAATCAGTGAGACCTGCAAAAGTCCCATCTCCTGAATATTTTTTTTTTTTTTTTCCCCATGAGGATTGCTTTGGTAGCAGTTCTTGCTCATACAGTTCTGTAAGAGAAATAAATAGAGTATAAATGTTCTGTAAATAGAATTGTCACAGCCAACTCCTGGTAGTGGGAACAGCACTGTGTTACCATTTAGTCCTAGTGCTGCAATGAAAGATGAAAACTCCTGATACTTTGTGGCACTTGTTACTGGGATACAATTTCCCTAATCCTTAAGCTGAAGAAAAAAAATAAATAATGAGATAGGAATGACCTGACACATTATGATTAAGGTTATTCTTCAGGATTTTTGAACTTCTGAAAGAGGTCATCAGAAACTGCTTTGGTATGAATATAGGCAAATATCAAAGTGACTGCATTATCATTTATTTCCACTTATTGTTAAAACCTTCAAGCTTCAGTGAAAGGCTATGAAGAAACTGGTGATTTCTGCTTCTAAAGTACGTGGTAGTTTTCTGGGGTAATAAAAATTTCTGGTCCATGAGGATCATGAAGAGCAAGCAGAACAGATAGTCTTGGATGTCATTTTATTTCAAGGGAAAAACAGATTTTCCCAATAGAGAACAGCTGCATGAACAGCCCATTAATAAAACCTATAATATGATAATTTTGTCCTATAGGGCTAATAATCACATTCTAGATAATTTTTATTTATACAAAGCGTGCATTTATGAAAAGGTCACAAGAAAAACTGTTAGCTACTTTATAAATATCATGGATCATAGATTGTTTATGGGTTTAATAAGTTTTTCTCTCCCAAGGTTAAAGGAATGGCATTAAAGGAACAAATATTATCTTGGGCTGGTTTTGAGGGCAGTATTTAACATTGCTTATACTGACTGATTGGAAGTATTTTCACGGTATGTAAATTTACTTTTCAAAGGGAGCAGCATAATGAGTGGGCATTTACACAGATGTAATATTAGTACCAAATTCAGAGAAAAGAGATCCAAAATAATCTCTCCCCACTCTCAAATGCACCTCTGGCATCTCAGATTTTGAATAAAAGGAATCTTGTGCAGGGACAGACATTTCCTCAGCTGACAGACCATCTCTGTGATGAACTCCTCTCCGAGGCTATCAGGGAGCAAGAATCTCTGCAGTGTCATGTTTTTGTCTCTTTGCTTCTATGCACTTGGTGCACTTTGACTGCATTTTAGGAAAGTAATGTGGTGGTAGGCTTTTTTTTTTTTTTCTGGCTACAGCATCCTTCCCAGCTGACAGTTGCAGAGCTGCCTTAAGGAGGAAGTGTTGTTCTGTGCGAATCCCTCCTGGGGTGGTTTGTTGCACTCGGTGACTCAAGCTCCGTGTGGCTGGCGAAGAGTGAGTTGTGCTGCCCTTGGTGGGATGCTACACTTTTATTTTCCCTAAAAGAAGAATGACAGTTGCCTAAAAGAAATCATTTACATACATGAAGTTATTCAAATGTTATGTAGAAGGGCAGACTTAAATATTTGAGCAGTTGGGTTTTTTTCACCAAAAAGGTAATTTTGGCTGGTTCAAACTTGCTACTTGGCAAAGATAGGAAAAGATCCAATTCCCCTTATTTCAGTCCAGGCTCAGCATTTGAAGTCAGTAACAGAGATGATGAGATAGTCCAATTGTGGGGACAGGAATGTAGTTCCCTCCCCTGCATATGGATATGACAACACTCAGTTCTCATAAGCAAAGGGTACAGAATATTCTGATTTTTTCCTGAGCAGCTCCTCCTTCTTCCTTTTGTACTGAGTGATCTAATATGACATATTTACTGGATCAGTACAGCAGTAGGAGTTCTTTACTTTCCCACTCTGTACAGATATTTTCAAGATGAAAAATTAAAATGATTGATTTCAAAATTGTCACAACAAAATGTTTTCACTCATTCAAATTTTTATCTTCAGTATCTTCTAGGTTACTGAACAAGGTTCATAAACCTGATGTGCAGTTAAAAATTCTGAATACTTAACCAAATACTCAGCTGTAATAGTAACCAGGCTCACTCCCATACATTTTCAGTTCAGAAAACATTAGGGAAGTCACACTGAAACAGAATCTCAAAGCTGTTCCACTATATTTGCATTCTGAGAGAGGAGTCTTAGCAGTTATCTGCTTTCCATGGGCACAGGATAGTATTTTCATACTATTAAAAAATATTGTGTATTGCTGTTGTAATCAGACAGGTTTGAACATGAGCTACAGTCAGATGAAAATGGTTTTAAGGATTGTTTTATGTGAGGGACACATTTATGGCAACAGGAGTGTCTCAGCAGCAGTGTTTTAGCCCAGACAGAAAAGAAACAGAAAAGAAAAATGAATGTAGGAGATTTTTATCTTGAGCTAACTTCTGCATTTTTCTGCATCTGGGTTTGGGGTTAGTATTGCAAATTCTGCTACAAAATAAGAAATGATTAAATAATATTTCTGAGCTTGTCTTCCCTTCCCTATTTTGCTAGGTACTCATCATTTGGGTTGGGAAAAGTATATGCCAGGCTAAGGCAGAAAATGCCTCATGTGATCCATACATCTGCAATTTATAGGTGATCCTGGGTTTCATGGACGTGAGCTATGGGATGAAGCTAGAAATTATAGTCCAAACAGTGCAGTCATCATATGCCCTTAAATATGGCAGGTTTTAAATCAAGAAAAAAACTGACAGCAGATTTAAAATCCAGAAATTGTGAAGCTTAGTTCAATTAGAGTCAGGTTTCAAACAGTATTTAGAGCCTTAAATTTATCTGGGCTTATGGAAGCATTTGACAGATGCCAGTGCAGTTCACTTTGGAACCTCTTGAAGGTCTATTGCATGCCAACAAAAATCATGAACCCCATCCAAGTTTTATGCCAAGATTCTGCTTGAACAGTTAAAGCAAATGGGAACTTGCATAAATGGGCTAATGAAACTCTCCTGTCAACCATACACTCACACATACACCCACTGTCAGACATTCATTTTATTACAATAAAAAAAAATTAAAATTATATGAAGCACGTATAGAAAACCAGAAAACACTATACCAGAATACTAAAAGGATACGGTCAGCTCTAGCCTTCTAAATTACCAGACAAAAGCTTTGAGGACTGTCCCTCCCTACAAAAAAAATGACAAAGATACTGCCAATATAATATCCTCCAAAAATGTACCTATTGAGGAACAGCTCCCACTGTGTCACAGTAGGAGACAATGGCATCCTATGGCACCTCTAACTCACAGGAGGATGCCAAGCAAAGGCTGACACCTGGAGCAAAGAATGTCATCAAGTTCCAAAGCAGTACCTGGCCTTCAGCATCTTCAGTAAATTTTCACCACTGAGAGTCTAGACCATGTGTGTCCCAGGTTGTCCCCACAGTCAGAAGAGGTGTGCTTTATAATGTATCCTGTACTTCTCTCTTCCAGGTCTGGGGACCTGCTGGAGGGCATCAACAGTCCCTGTCTTCACTTCCAGAGATCCTCACAGTGGGAACTCAGTGGTGTGCAGATGAAGTGTGCACCCAAACCTTGACCACTCCTAAAGCATTCAGGATATAGCCATGGAGTTGCCGTGGAGAGAGGACCACACTACAGACATAAGTGTGGCTCTCAGAACATGCCTCCATGTCCTCTGTTCAAATGCAGATGTTGGGAACACATTGAAGACAGAAGCAAGCATCTAAATGACCTTGAAAGCAAATGTTTCAGTAAATATCTAGGAATTGGACAGATTAACTATATAAGGAAGACCAAGACTAAAAGGAAATAGCATTAGCTATTTCCAAGTGACTCAGAAAAAAATTGAAGTGTACTTTATCTGTGTATCACAGATAAAAACACAGCAGCTTCTAGAAAATGAATGGATGGGACAAATAGACACTACATTGGCACAATAAATGCAATTCTTAATCCAAACAGTTATTATTTTCTTGTCCACAACAAAGATTGTCTCAGCCAGAGAAAATATTTTTAATTTCTCAGTACAAGGGTTCTCTTGGCCAAGAAGTGCAAGACTCTTGCTGACTCTTTTCCCATCCCACAATGCTGCCCTTGCTACTTTTGTAGGCTTCCCTTACAAGCTTTCTCACAGCACCCAGCTCTCCCTCCCTCCACCATTTCCCACTCACACATGCACAGACACCTGCCTGGGTAGGACCATGCTTAGCAACAGAAATATTTCTATTTCCAAGTGCTTTGAAATTCCTGAGTTGACTCTGCCTTTCATGAAAAAATAGTGATTGATGGTTAAAGAATACTATTTCCCTACTGACTTTCTTTACTGATTTAATGACTTCTCATAACCACTTTATATAAAGAGGCAGTGCCTAACAGCTTCAGAAAGTTGTAACACACACTGCAATAGTACATACATCTGACCTTGTCTGAGACATAAGAATATCTGACAGTGCAGAATTTCACTACTATTCATCTATGTAAACATACAGATAGGTATCAGGTGGGATCTACAAAAAATGCTGGCACCTATGTTACTTTACAAAGATACCCCTGAGAACCTGATTCAAAGCCATTTCTCTAAAGAGAAATTACTATTGACTTTATTAGGATTCAGTTGAGATTAATGTTGCACACTTCTTTGCTGCCCTTTCCTGTCTCTGTTCCTGGGATTTGAATTGTTCCCTCAAGGCATTTCAAAAAAAGGATGGAAATGTTAGCTGCAATGCATGAGAAGTTGAATACTTGTCCTTCTGGTTTTGACAGTATCTGTTTAATACAAAAAGAATAATATTGTTTTAAAACTTTAATAGAATTTTTCTGTTCATATCTTTAAAATGCCGTTGCATCTTTTAAAAAATAACTAAACCAATAGAGAAATATTCCAGCTTGCTGGAAAAGGAATAAACATGTATGCCACTTACTTGAAGGCTCAGTAACTGGAGTAGGGTGACTGAAAAACTCTCCCATGTTCCTGCAGCAAACATCATGTCCATGGACATCATGTGCAAGTATTTGATTTCTTCATCACTGTAGAATATATAAAACCTGTCTTCAGTAAATATTTTCCCATCTATCAAAATTCCTGATGACAAGGAGTTAATGTCAAAATCTCCTTTTCTATCTGTCCTAGGCACTAAACTGAATACATTAATTAAAATGTAACTGTATCAAGCCACCTGCAGAATAAATAAGGGGACAAGTCTTGTGTTGGGTTGGCTTTTGGTTTTGTTTTGTAATTTTTTTGTTTGTTTACTTTTTGATTTTTTTTTATTGGGTTTTTTTAAGGGTATGTGACTGGAAAATGTCTGAATTAGGCATAAAAAATATTAAAAGGAAAATGGTATCAAAAACGAAGAAACAGAAGCCAGGTATTGTACAATAGCATTGCAGAGAGGAGAAGGATGATAAAAAAGAAAGCAAGTGTAGTGGTGCATGATTAGCTTGCAAAGAAGACATAATTTGGATTAAAAAAGCTTAAATCTGTGATGGTTAAAGAAGAACTCCATGTACAGAACTGCTCTGGATCAGAACTAATGTGATCCCCAAGCTCATTGCTATGAGCTCTTACCCACAGTGTCACTAATGTGATTGAAGATCTATTTCCAGCACCATTTCTACATTTCAGAAGAGAACTGACTGCAGAAACTCTGATCAGAACATGTTAGTGATGCATGATACTTGGTTTTCCACTTTCAGCTGGAAGCGTAATCTGTCAAATTGCCTTTTCCTCATATATTTAAGAAAAAATACAGTTTACTTTGTGCAAACATCTAATTTTCTTTCAATGATAGATCTACAAGGTTATAAAATTACTCAAAAACAGACATGCCAGCTTTTCTAAAGTTTGGACATGTTATCAAGAACATTTAGCATTTTAAGAGTCAATAGAAGTTTGTACATTCTTTGGTCTGCTCTTTGAAATATGACATATATCATATCTTATAACAAAAATGGTAACTTCCTCTACATACAATGATTTTATGGATTGTAAGTGTTGAGAATGGTTTCAATACCATTTGCCTCTGGTAATTAAAAGATAAATCCTGCTCTTCCAGAGCAGATGAATTCTGTACAACCTCTCCAGAGGCTATGACCTGCCTGAGGAAATCAGATGCAGGAGGGATTCACTCACAGCTCTGGCAGTTTTTGAGAGTATGCAGCAGATATTTTGTGGAGTCTGAATTAAGTCTTCTTTTTTTAGGATGTACTTGAATATGAGATTTTCCAGAGCAAAGTTCAAGTGGAGAAGTGTAATTGAGGCTTTCTGACTCCGATCAAGGTACTGCAGAGATATGGAGGCTCACACCCGGGTCAGGTTACTGGGGGACAGTGACAACATGGTCAGGTGAGTGAGAGCAGGACAGCCCTAAATTCTGCAGGAAGATATTTTCCATAGCGTTCACTAAAGTCCCAGTTCAACCCTCACCAACTTCCTTCAAGACTAAGAAGGTGTTGTAATGGAAAAGATACTGATGGGCATGAGCCCTAATTGGGTAAAGCAGGTGGAAGGCCTCTAGGTACTGTCTCTATTAATCATTGCCATTAAGATGTAATTCCTTCAACATTTTTAAGCTTGAGAAAATTGAATTTAATCTATACATTGGCTGAAGACCTCTCCTGGTGACAATCTTTGAGCTTAAGTTGTGAACTTTATTTTTCCCAAGTAAACAACATTAGAGAGCATTTGTGAGTCTGCAGCAGGTTGTCTCATGAAAGGACAGTCTAAACTGGAGAGCTGGACGAGGTGGAGGCATTGACACTATCCTTTTCTAGCACCATTCCCCCAGCCCTCAGTGCAGGATCATACTGAAGGAAAGGTATCTCTCCTGGAACTCCCTGGGGACAGCCTGGCTCCTCCTGGTTAAGAGGGAGCTACTTGTGGCAGGATTTGGGTTTTAGCACTCTGAGCTTCTCTTTCTAAATTTTGGCTTGCAGATCAGCTGCCCACACAGTGGGCAAATGGAGCATCTGCTCGTCTCCCTTGTCGCTCCTCCAGTCCTGTTATCACCCACATTAGTTTGAAGTGCCCTTCCATGAGACACTAGAAAAGGAGAGCTTTTAGTTTTGTTTTTGAAAAGAAGAACTGACCTAGCCAAGAGAATGAAATATTTTTTTATTATACATTAGTAATCATTCACTGTATGTAAAATTACTAATACATGAAAATTTTTAAGAACAGTGCCAGACTGGAATTGTCAATTAATTTTTCTTCTTCTTAACAACAGAAATGGCTTAGAGAAAATGCGTGTCTTTTGTGCTCTTAGACTCCTCTTTCTTTGGAGCTAGTTATCTATGTAGCTTGCTTTAGAAGTGCTGTTTCTTGAGGTTTTGTTTTTTTATTTCCTTTCAATATATAAACCATAGTCTTTCTGTGAGATTTATTAATTAGTTTTGTATCCTGTTGACAAAAATTTGAAACCAGGTTTGTTTGCAGAAACCTGCTGTGGTCCACGACATTAAAATTATTCTTGTATTGTTTTGCTTGTTTTTTTAAAGCGGAAGATTTTTTTGACGCATCTATATGTATATATTCATATATACACAGACATGTATACAATATGAATACATGTAACAGCTGTGGGATTAGAGTCTCTGATCAAAGGGGAGAGCATCAGAAGGTCTTAGCTTGGCCTCCTCTTTGCAGAATTGCTTGCTCCTGTTTCCCTACAGAGCTGCCCCCCCTGACAGCAGCATTTCTGGGACCAGGGATAGAGCCAGAGAGGATGCCTATCACACCTCACACACATACAACCATCTCAGTCTCAAGACAATTCAAACCCAAATACGTTTGTAATCCAGAAAATTGGCATTTCTGCCAGGCAGTTTCTGGGACTGGATCTTGCATGAAAGCAGGGTTTCATTCACAGTCATCCATCAGAAGCCGAAGAGCATCTGAGAGGAAGCAGCACTGAGAGGGAACCTGTCGTCTTTGATTTACTCTTTAAATGCCTGAGGCAACTGTGTTGGAGGAGCAACCTATACACATTGATGCTGCCCGTTAAAAATGTGTTTACAAAACATTGCCCATGCTTGTAACATGATTCATTTTCTTACTTGGAACAAGTGAAAAAATAGGATATGTGGGGTGGAAGATAAGTATTACGCAACTGAAGTAATCTCATAATTTATTCCTTATTCAAGGACATGTTTGTCCAATCTTTGGAAAACTTCAAGTTATCCTTCAAAGTTCAGTGTGTCCCTCTCCCAGAGCTCGCTGGGTTGAGTCAACAAGCCAACCTACAATCCATGCCAGCACCCTCACTCTTCCATCTCTCTTTTCAGATCCAGTTGAGGCGTACATCAAAACCAAAAACCCAAGATGGTCATCCACACAAGGGGCTTCTTCTTTTCTCATGCCAGATGTTAGAATGGGTCTTGTGTGGAATTGCGAAAGATATCCAGGGTAAAACAACAGAAAAGTGGTTTTGTTGATATTACAGGGGTGGAAGCTAAAGCCACGAGCTTTTGCTCCCTTTTTCATCACCTCTTTGACACACTGGTGTGTAAGTACAGACTATACGTCTTTTCTGCTTCTTGCAGTAGCCCAAATTTCTGGTTGATTTTTCAAAGACAAAGAGTCAAGCTCTGGGATTTTGATGAGCTGATGCCACTGCTGCCTGAGGTGGGATTTAGGACACTAAAGCACACTGTCACAGTGATGCTGTGGAACTTCTGAGAGGAACATGCAGGGTGAGAAACTACAGGGAAGTATGGAAAGACTTTGACATTTCTTTTCCCAATGGAGCAAGGGTCAATAAAATTCTTACTTTGGAGGTTCTTTCTTTTGCATCATGAATAGAAGTTCAGGATAGACAAGCAAAAGCTTGTGACACAATGGCTTAGTGATTGTTTTTCCTGAGTTAATACTAGAACTAAAAGTAAGTCTTAGACCAAAGTAATAAGGTTAAGAAATTTTATTATGAACAGAATGCAGGATTCAGCTGCAATGTTTAAGAGCATAATCTTGTATGAGTATCATCCTTCCATATGGACATATGGACTTCAAATATTCTGGGTAAATTGTGGCAAAGAATCATCTGCAAACCAGCTAATAAGAATATAAGTTTAAACTTCTCTTGTTCTATGTTTCAGGAAATTTTCCTTTGTTCTACAATAAAAGCAATTTGTCACTGTGGGAGATCAGTTGAAAATTAGATTTCAATTATTTATTCAGTTAGCAAAGCAAAAGGATAAAAAAATTATGTCAAGAAAAGAAGTCATATTCACAAAGGACTTATTTACAGCTTAATTTTTATTTGAAAACTACTCTGTCTGCAGGAAAATACAAGACTGGGCATGTGTGTTTTTAAGCAACACATACTTCCAGACCTTCTCACTCTTGTGGAATCTTAATAAAATACTGATAAGATATATGATACCAGAGTTGCAGATATTACTATGGGGAATGTGACATAGATAAACAACATAGCTAAGACAGTGTGACTAGAACTTAGCTTGCAAAATGAAAGAAAATACTCAGAAAAATATTTAGAAACCAAAAGGGGAAACCTTCCATTTTACAGCTTGCCAGCTTTTCCAGAATTACATAAATCTATTATCACTCTTACAATAATGTCATTGCTAGAAAAAGATGTAAACTTTATTTCCTTTTATGTTTCTGAATTCTCAACTGCAAGGACGGTTTTGATTTTATATGTGTTTCTCTTTAAAAAAAGCTCCAGTTACCTAGAGATTCTTTTGCTCAAAATATTGCCCTTAGCAGTATGCAGAAGCAATAAAAGAAAGAAAACAAAG